CCCTCCCACTTCACCCTCAGACACCCCCTAACCCCCTCCCACTTCACTCTTCAGACATCCCCTAACCCCCGCCCAATTCACCCTCAGACTGCCCCCAAATACCAGAAGAGGCCTCAGCAGCATCCCATACAACCTCAATGTGACATCCCAACTCCTATACTCAAAGGACTGAACAATGAAGGCAAGCGTGCCAAATGCCTTCTTATGACACAAACTTCAAAGAGTTATGTACTTGAATGTCTAGGTCTCTCTGTTTGACAACAGTAACCCTGGCCCTACCATTGATTGTATAAGTCCTACCCTTCTTTAACTCCATCAATCACTCCTCAGCCCATTGGCCCAATTAATCAAGATCTCTTTGTAATCTTAGAGTGGAGTGACAAAGTGAGAAAGTCTTTTTTCACTCAATGAGGAAAGTGCGGCCTGAAATAAGTTTATAAGAATTTTGTTCATGGTGTCACTGGCCCATCCCTAATTGCCCCTTGACCTGAATGGCTTGCCAGGGCCACATTAAGGGTCATTAGGAGTCAACCACATTGTGTGGGTCTAGGCTCACATGTAGACCAGACTTGGCAAGGTTGGCACACTTCATTTCCTGAAGGACGTTAGTGACCCAGATGAGATTTTACCAGAATTGACAATTATTACATGTTTTGTTTTAAAATTCCAGATTTTATTGAATCACCATCTGCCGTGGTGGGATTTGAACCTATGTCTCCAGAACATTAGTTTGGGAGGTCTGGCTCACCAGCCCAGTGACATTACCAAAATGCCACTGTAGTGGAAGAAGTTAAGGAATAACTTTTTGAAAAGGGAATTGAATGGTACTGGAAATAGAAACAACTGCAAGGGCAGCAAGAGTAGTGGAAATTGCAGAGGGAGACTACAGGCAGAGCTCTTTCAAAGAGCCAGCACAAGGCACAATGGGCTGAATAGCTTCCTTATGTACTGTGTGATTGTAGGATTTCCTGCATGTGCCTTGTACATGCTATATGGATCGATACTGGAGTACATTCAAAACTTAGTTCAAAGACAGTAAAACCAGAGTAGAAATATCAGGTTAAAAAGGATTTATTCTGTTATGTAACAAAGTCAGCGTTTAATTTATTGATGATTCAGGAGAGCCAATGCTATAATTTAAACAGTTTACTGTAGCCTGCATGTAGATAAGAACATCCAATAAATTTACTTTTAAAAATTATTTAATGGAATGTGAGCCTCATTGGCTAGGCCAGTATTTATTGCACCTGCCTAACTCCTGTGGAGAAGGTGGGGGTGAACTGCCTTCTTGAACCGCTGCAGTCCATGTGCTGTAGGTAGCCCCACAATGCCCTTGGTCGGGTAGATCCAGGATTTTGACCCAGCGACAGTGAAGAAAAGGTGATATATTTCCAAGTCAGGATGGCGAGTGGCTTGAAGGGGAACTTGCAGGGGGTGGTGATCCCACATATCTGCTACCCTTGCCCTTCTAGGTTGTACAGGTCACAGGTTTGGAAGGAGCTGTCTGAGGATCTTTGGTGAATTTCTGCAGTGCATCTTGTAGATAGTACACACTGCTGCTACTGAGCGTCAGGATGGTGGGAGTGGATGCGGTGCCAATCAAACATACTGTTTTGTCATGGATGGTGTCAAGCTTCTTGAGTGTTGTCAGAGCTGCATCTATCCAGGCAAGTGGGGAGTATTCCAAAACACTCCTGACTTGTGCCTTGTAGATGGTAGACAGGCTTTGGGGATATGAAAGAACGTTAATTGTTGTAGAGTTTCCAGTATCAGTATGCACGGTAACAGAAAAGCCAGCAATCTCAATGCAAAGCAAGGACAAACAAGAGAGAGGTACACTAGAACTTGCTGCTGAGTGACTTGGGTGCTCTGCTCTGCAATTCTTTTTATGTTTCTACGTCTGCGAGTGTGCAGACATGAAGGGTTGGGGGCTGTGGGGCTTCATGGTGTCACATTTTTAGTGGAGGAAGATACTGGTTGGTAAGAGCAGAATTCGTTCCAAGTTTGATTGGATCAGTATCCCCTCTGGACACTCATGTAGCTGGGTGATGTGAGCCTGTGCAATCCTTTAGCCAAATGTGTGTGTTTCACTTCAAAGCTCAAAAGTTAGGAAAAGGAAACAGGGGAATACTAACCGGAACCAGGTAATGAGAGAGACGTCTTGCATTTCTAGAACATGCCACGTGACCTTAAAATGTTATAATGTTGTAATATGGGAAACCTGGCAGCCAATTTGTGCTCAGCAAGCTCTTACAACCAGCAATGATTGGATAATCTGGTTCAGCTTGATCAAGGGATAAATATTGGCCAGGGCACTGGGGGTGATCTCCCATCTCTCCGTTAAAATAGTAGCCACAGGATCCTTTCAGCCACTGCAGAGTGTAGGACAGAGCTTGATTTGTATTACATTCGAGACATGGAACTGAAAGAAAGATTGAGAAATAATTGCCTGCTTGTGGGAGATCTTGGACAAGGCCTGGATCTGAAGCTGGCCGGGTGGGATGCCAGCAAATTCTCTCTATGGACTGATCTACAAACAGTTTCGTAAACTCAGATTTGCAAAAGCAAAGTAAAAACGAACAATTGTGTATTTACTCTCAAACCACAGTCTGAGCCCCAGCCCGCATGCCCCTGCTTTCCTTCTCATTGCAAGAGCACACACAGAACTCACAGGATGTAACCAGGCTCGAGAAAGAATCCCAGACGACTGGATCATCAGTGCAGACAGTTCCACCACCTCTGTGCTCCTGCGCCCGGTCTCTGTTGATATCGCCAATGCAGGTCCACTTCACACCTGAGCCTGGCCTTGTCACACACCATTTGGAATGATCCATGCTGCTTTCGAAGCTAGTGTATGTGGTGAATGTAATGACCTTCACATTGTACACCGAGTACGTCATGGTGCAGTTGGATGGGAGAGTGTGTGCGGAGTTTGGCCAGGTCTGAACCAACAGATCACTCTGAAAGGAGCCTGCCACCCAGCCAGAGTATAAATCTGCAATACAAGGAAACGCTTATGAAGCAGTAAACAATGAGATCTCTACCTCTTCCAATCAGGCCATCGATATACAACAGTCATTTACTAATCGAAGCAGGAGAAAGAAAGTGAACGGTGAGAATGTGGTTGAAATAAATATCAAATCTATTGAAAGGGAGCTGGATGAATACTGGAGAAAGAAATGGATGGGTATGTTGATAGAGTGAGACGGAGTAAGGGTGGGCAGGGCTCACATGGAGCACATGCACTTGTATGGATCCGATGGGCTGAATGGACTGTTTCTATGCTGCACATTCTACAAAAATCCATACAATATTTCCTGCCATCCTCTAATCAGGGTTAGACTTAGTGTCTAGAACCGAAGGATGCAAAGGGGAAGCTGGAATTAGAACTGTTGGAAAACTCCCCAGTTACATTCAATTATACGAAGAACAAAGAACAATACAGCACAGGAACAGTGTTTCTTAAATGCTACTATTGTGTCTGCTTCCACCACCTCCTCTCGCAACACGTTCCACGGTGCTGCTGTGTTATGTGCAGCAGCATTGAGAGCTCTCCATAAGGCGCACATGGTAAAAGAGGACATTTAAATCGAGATGTTCAAAAATTATACATATGTTTAACAGGTTAGATAGAAGGAAAATTGTTTCCACTGACAGGAAGGTGCAGAGAGGAGCACAAATCAAAAGGCAGTTGGCAAAAGAACTGAGCAAAGACGAAGGGGTAGTAGGAACTGCCGATGCTGGAGTCTGAGATAACAAGGCTTGGATGAACAAGAGTTGGATGAACACAGCAGGCCAGGCAGCATCAGAGGAGCAGGAAAGCGAGTCTTTTTTCCTTCTTTAGGCTGAGGGGGTTATTGGGATATGGAACATGCAGCCTGAGGGAGGTGGTGGTGGTAGATTCAGTTGGAACTTAAACAGCCAACACCCCTACGTTGTCTCCAATCAGACCACACCATTACTCTGCTCCCACTGCCCCACACATTTCATTTACATCCAGCCAGCTTATGAAGATGTCTATTGAATCTACTTCTACAGGAACAGGACAGGTTTAAACAGCAAGTTCCGGTAAACTGGAACAGTTGGTATGCGGCCAATGTCCAAGATTATTTCGGAGAGAGGGCAGAATAGGGAAATCAGGGAGAAAGAGAGAGACAGTGACAAGTACCGTACCATCTCCAAATTTTCTGCTCTTTGCAAAACTGGTGAAGAGTTTCCCAGCTGCCGACGAGAGAACGACCTTACTCTGCCAGGGGGGCCTCTCCAGCTTTTTGCCAGTTGCTGCCTTGTTGAGGTTGACCAGGTCTTTGGCGAAAGAGGGCGGGATCGAATGATCGTAGACATGAGGGTTGTTGTACAATAACTGTGTACCTGCAAACAGCAGCACAGCATCATTAGACTTTTCTGGACATAAATACATCAATGCAACAAATAAGGATTTTGTAAAAAAGAAATTTAAGCCCAATTCAGAACATTTTCTTTTTTCCTCAGGTTGGGAAGGTTGATGTTTCATAGGAATTAGGTGCCAGCTACTGAGTCTATATCCACATGGATGGTCCATTCAGCCCATGCTCCACATGAGCACCACCCATCCCATTTCGAAAACCCATCAGCTTATCCTTCTAACCCTTTCTCCCTCATGTGTTTATCCAGCTTCCTCCTAAACATGTCTACGGCCCTATGCCTTGAGCACTCTGTGGCCAACGGTTCCACGTTCTCACCTTTCTCTCTGAAAATGCATTCACCCCTAAAGTATTCACCAATTATCCTCAGGAGCATCAGCAGGGTCCTGTCACTACGGGGTCAGGAGATCCACTGTTCCCAGGCCTCTTGGGCTAAACTGTGCCCAATGAAAATTGGTTAAGAATCCAGGCGGAATACATTTTTTAAAAAAAAATACATTAAAAAAGTGAAGTTACGATAGTCCTGTCAGACAATAGGGCTGCTCTGTCACCGGGGAGGCGCGACTGGTGGGGGTTTAACCCGAGGGTCACTGTACCTCAGGCGAGGGGATAGGTTGAGATGGGGAGTCATTTATGGTAACCTCAGCCTGTGTGTGAATTGGACCCATACTGTTGGCGTCACCAGCCAACTGAGCTAACCAACCACTTAAAAAAAAAAAAAAAGAGATAACCCAGGAGTTTGACTGACCTATTTCCAGTACGTTACAACCCAGTTCAATGAGCAAATTGACAGTTTTGGGGAGCCATGCCAGTCTGTGCCATCACTAACAGTCACAAATACGGGGGCTTTACATTATCTTGAAGGGAAAGCAGCAATGTTTGCTGAGTAGTTCTCTCACCAATGTCCTTAAACTGGTCATATCGGTAGGTAACACACAAGAAAGACTGCCCGTTTTTCATTCCACTGTGTGGCCACTTGTAGGATTGGTCAGTTCTGGGTGGGAAGAACGGAGTGCTGTGAACCAACCAGAAGCCTTGTATGTCATCCAAAAGGACAACTCCTGAGAATAAACAGTACACTAATCAGTAAACAGTTCTAGCACCCATATAGTCCAACTCTCATTGCATGAATTACTCTAGTCTTGGCTCAAAGGCAACGCCAAGAATTGACATCCCATCAGCCAGTGGTTTGGGTGTTTAACTCAAGGGAAGACTGAAAAAGTATGGAATACAACAACAACCTGCATTTGTAGCACCCCCTTAACAGAGTTAAATGCCCCTGGGCATGGCAAAGGAGCATCAAAATGTATTGGACACTGAAACAAACAAAAACAGAAGAAATTGCTGGAGAAACTCAGTAGGTCTGGCTGCATCTGTGGAGAGAGAAACAGAGTTAATGTTTTGTGTCCAGTGACCTGTTCTGAAGGTCAACATATCTATCTATTTCTTTGTCCAGGACGCTCTCTCCACAGATGCTGCCAGACCTGCTGAGTTTCTCCAGCAATTTCTGTTTCTGTTTGGTCATGGATCAAGGTAAAAAAGAAATGACCATGCTGCACAAGAATCGAAAGAATGTTGTGTTTGTAGAGGGTTGTAGAGCAGGAAGAGCAGATGGAGAGATAGGCAGAGGAAGGAAAACCATGTAGAAATCTGAACACTGAATATCAGATTGGCTGAACAGAGTGAAAGATGGATGAAGACAATGGGTACATTTTTAAAAAATTCATTTGTGGGATGTGGGCTTCACTGGCTGGGCCCAGCATTTATTGCCTGTCCCTGGTTACTCTTGAGAAGGTGGTGGTGAGCTGCCTTTTTGACCTGCTGCAGTCCACCTGCTGTTGGCTGACCCACAATGCCCTTTGGGAGGGAATTCCAGGATTTTGACCCAGCAACACTGAAGGAACAGTGATATATGTCTAAGTCAGGATGGTGTGTGGCTTGGAGGGGAACTTGCAGGGGGTGGTGTTCCCATGTATCTGCTGCCCCTTGTCCTTCTACATGGAAGTGGTCATGGGTTTGGGCAGCAGAATTCCAGAGGTGGCCAAAGAGTTCTGTAGCAGTCAAGCTCAGAGGTAACAAAACCATGGATGTTAATTTTCAGTCTTAATCAGGGATGGAAACAAGGGATGGTAGAGAGCAGGCTCGAGAAAACATTGACTCAATCACGTATTCCATGTGGATACATAATGATGCAGAGTGGAGGCAGGAAAAAATAAGCCCTTGCCATATGAAACAAACATTCAAAGCTGTCAGAGCATTGCTTCTGGCCTGGAGCTTGAGAGGAAGCACCACAATCTAGGCATTGTTCATCACCTTTTGTATGTCCGCCATAACTGGACAGGGTGGTATTGACCTGGTCATTGTAGAGGACATATGCCACTTGGTCCCTCTGGAAAAACAAAGCAGAGGATAATGAATATAACAATTCCCCCTTAGCAATTCCAAATTTCAACACTGAAATGCATTTAGATTGTATTTTATGTTATATGCAAGCATATTTCTTGCCAATGACACCTACGTCCCATGGAAGAATTATTTCAGAACTGATGTTTGACCACACATGGAGAATGTCTGGGGGATCTAGAGCCATAGAGCTGTACAGCACAGAAACAGACCCTTCAGTCCAACTTGTCCTTGCCGACCAGATATCCTAAATTAATCAAGCCCCGTTTGCCAGCATTTGGCCCATATCCCTCTAAACCCTTCCTATTCATATACCCATCCAAATGCCTTATAAATGTTGTAATTGTACCAACCTCCACCACTTCCTCTGGCAGCTCATTTCCAAATACGTACCACCCTCTGTGTGAAAAAGTTGCCCCTTAGGTCCCTTTTATATATTTCCCCTCTCACCTTAAACCTATGCCCTCTAGTTTTGGACTCCCCCACCCTAGGAAAAAGACCTTGGCTATTTACCCTATCCATGCCCCTCAAGATTTTATAAACCTCTATAAAGTCACCCCTCAGCCTCTGGTGCTCCAGGGAAAATAGCCCCAGCCTATTCAGTCTCTCCCTATAGCTCAAACCCTCCAACCCTGGCAACATCCTTGTAAATCTTTTCTGAATCCTTTCAAGTTTCACAACGTCCTTCCTATGACAGGGAGACCAGAATTGAATGCATTATTCCAAAAGTGGCCTAACCAATGTCCTGTACAGCTGCAACACAACCTCCTATAATCAATGCACTGACCAATAAATTAAACTTCAGTGACTGGTTGACCTTATGGAGCATTACACCAGACCGGCCTGAGATATGGACAAATCTTCAAATGTGTACCATTTTTAATTAAACCATTCCTTCCTCTTGCATGGAGTTGAAAAAAGATCAAAAGGCCACTATTTCATTGAAGAGGAGGGGAGATCTTGCTCAGACCTGAACACTATTAATCCTATAAAAACTGATGATCTGGTCATTATCAGATTGCTGTTTGCGGGAGCTTGCTGTTTGCAGGAGCTTGCTGTGCACAAATTAACTGTCACGTTCCCTTTATTACATCAGTGGCTACACGCCAAAACGTACCTCATTGGCTGTGAAGTGCTTCGAGAGAGTGGAGGTGGTGCGCTATGTAAATGCAAACGATTCTCAAATTCATCGTGAAAAATATCAGAATTCAGTTCCCTGGGCTGGTTAACATTTGAGCCCAAATCTGATACACTGCCCAACCCTTATAGTCAAACAACCAAAACAATCCTTTAGTTCATTTTCTAAAGAAGGGTCTAGGCCCGAAACGTCAGCCTTCCTGCTCCTCTGATGCTGCTTGGCCTGCTGTGTTCATCCAGCTCTACACCTTGTTATCTTTAGTTACCTGCAGTTTAGATTTCTCATAGAGCTGCTGTAGAGTCCCTCCCACAGCTCGGTCCGTGTCATTAATCAAGCGATTTCCAGTTCTCCAGCCATTGCTCGAGGAGTCCATGTACTTGTATTGTAAACCTGTTTTACTGACATGTTTGGGTAACTTGTAAACAATGAACCTGAAAGCAGATGGGTGGGTGGGGAGAGGGAGGGTTGGAGAGTAAGGAGACAAAAGTTAACTTCAAAGGCAGTGTGTGATTGAAAAAAGGGAACACTACACCACTCCAACATTCCCACTAAGGAGGAGCTCACAACCCAACACCCTTCCTCACTCAGTGTAGAGTTTGACACCTTCCAGGACAAAGCAGTCTGCTTGATCAGCACCCCATTCACCAGTCAACATTCTCCACCACCGACGCTCAGTACACACTGCTGCTACTATCTACAAGATGCACTGCAGAATTTCACCGAAGATCCTCAAACAGCACCGTCCACACTGATACCACTTCCATCCAGAAGGACAAGGGCAGCAGATGCAGTGGGGAGGTGTTCCCATGTAAGTTCCCCTCCAAGCCACACACCACCCTGACTTGGAAATATATCACCTGCAGTGTCGCTGGGTCATTTGCCTTGAACTCTCTCCTTTAAGGGCATTGTGGGTCAACCTACAGCACATGGACTGCCGCAGTTTCAAGTAGGCAGCTCAACATCACCTTCTCCAGGGGCGACAAGGGACAGGCAATAAATGCTGGTCTTGCCAGAGACACCCATCTGTTTTTAAAAATCCTAACACAGGATCACACCTCACAAAAACAAGTAAAAAATTGACAATCCTTCTGAGAAAGGGAAGCTTCATCGGTGTAACATTTATTACCATAGTTTCTATTGCGCAGAATGTGACTACATTCACAGTGGGAACAGAAAGACACTGTACAGAGACAGTAAAGCAGCTTTGCAAAGGTTAATTCTGTGACATATCCTTGGGGCAGAGGTATCAAAGTCCCACTTGGGATCAGTTACTGCTTTGTCTGTGCTCGCAACCAATGCAGAGACTCCAGAAATTAAAGTCAGAATTGTGATAGAGTTAATTTTGACTAGTATAAACCAAGTATTGGGTGTGTTGGCTGGGCGTTTAGCATCTCTTCAATTGACACTGATGGAAATAACAATTACAAACGATGTAAAAAGTGTCACTGAGTCACTATCATTGGTTAGCAGGTTCACAAAGACAAGATCATGGCATTTCTATGTTAATAAACTCACATATCGAGGGATGAGTTTCATGAAAAGATTGGTGGATCTGAGCCAACACACAAGTCAGTAGGACAAAATGCAATTGCTGACAATTTAAGTCTCAAATTCGAGAGGATTTGCTTTAAAAAAATACAGCATGGAAACAGACCTTTCAGTCCAATTAATCCATGCTGACCATAATCCGAAACTAAACTAGTCCCACCCACCTGCGTTTGACCCATGTCCCTCCAAATATTTCTTATTTATGTATCTATCCAAATGTCTTTTAAATGTTGTAACTGTACCCATGTCCACCAGTTCTTCTGGAAGTTCATTCCAGAGGTGATCCTTTCTCAGAACAGTTCTGGAAATTTCCAGCCACTTTGTTTTTGTTCCTGATTTACAGCATCCGCAGTTTGTTCGGTTTTTATTCCACTGTTACTCTGACAGTTTGTGTTGACAGCTGTGTCCCAATCCACGCCTGTTGTCATTTCCCAGCACTACCTGGCTATTGGCAGCATGGTTAAACGCTGTTTCTCTTTGCCTATCAGCATTGCCAAGGCACAGGCTGTAACTAGAGAGGGGGGGAAAGATAAGGTGACAGACAAGTGAACTTCTGTCCCACCAATCACCTTTCACTATCTTGGCAATGTCACTGATCACCACAGTCCATAGCTATGGCTAGCATTCTCACTATTTGTACACAGGAATATTCACAAAAACTGGAAAGTTTGTCTTCTACCATTTGAACCCATATCCCCAGAGCATTAACCTGCATTCTCAATGACTAGTCCAGTGACATTACACTACACCCCCCTCTCTCTAGTCACCATATTGTATGTGGTCTCTATTTATTCTGATTCTATTTGAATTATCATAAACTGCTCATGACCCCTTTGGATGGCATGGTGGCTCAATGGTTAGCACTGCTGCCTTACAATGCCCTGGACCTGGGTTCGATTCCATCCTCGGGCAACTGTGTGGAGTTTGAACATTCTCCCCAGGTCTGCGTGGGTTTCTGCCGGGTGCTCCGGTTTCCTCCCACAGTCCAAAAATGCACAGTTAGGTGGAGTGGCCATTGGAAATTGTCCGTACTGTTCAGGGTATGTAGGCTAGGTGGGTTAGGCAGGGTAGATATGGGGTTACGGGATACGGTAGGGAGCTAGCTCTGGATGGGATGCTCTTCAGAGGGGCAGTGCGGACTCAATGGGCCGAATGACTTCGTCCCACACTGTAGGGATTCTAGGATTCCGTGAACTCCATAGAGCTATCTGATCTACATAATCAAATGGCATTCTCCTGTTACAAAAACAGAAATTGCTGGAGAAACGCAGGAGGTTTGGCAGCAGCTGTGGAGAGAAAGGCAGAGTTAATGTTTCAAGTCCAGAATCTGTTCCTCTCTGCCGTGCTGAGCAGAAAGGTCACTGTCTCCTGTTTTCGTGGTGCTTATTTGAACAAGTTACAGATGTGGAGAGCAAAATGCTTTAACTTACCAGTCAACTGGCTGCCCATCATCATTGTAACAGGAAATGTCAGAGGCAGCAAAATATACAGAGCAGGTAACAGTCAGACAAGCAAGTGCAGACCAGTAACTGGAGCTGGCCATCTGAAAAACAAGAATATCCAAGAATAACATGCTGGAATTTCCTCTTCCAGTCAATATTCATGGTGCTCACTGTGGCAAAACTCAACAATCATTGCAGCAACCTCCAATAAATTCATCTTACTCCGTCGCAATGCTCCCTTTCCCCCCATAGCTGTGGTCCCTTGATATCCAGGGTTAGCATTATCTAAATCACTTTCTGGTTCCCCACTCTTTTCTATGTTAGTAACATCTTGTTCTGCTGCAGCACAAGCCTACATCTAGGTGTGCAGCAAGGCACTAACTATGTTAACATCCAAAAAAACATGGAGGAATGCTTCGGAGAATCTAACCTCTTTGATTATTTGAATTTAAATAATCAATCTGGAAACAAAAAGCTGATGTAGCTGGAAGTGACAGTGTACTTATCACAAATTGCCAAACTAGTTCAGCAACGTCCTTTAGGCACATAAACTGCTGCTGTTGCCTGGTGTCAGTGTATACGTGACTCCAGCCCCACACCACAATGTGGTGGTTACTAACTGCTCAAAACAGGCTAGGGACAGCAGAAAGTACAGAGGACAGGCACAGGATTGTCAGCAGATTTACCCAACCTGGTCTACTTTAAAAAAAGTGCAAGCAAAGCCCTATTAACTCATTAGCCTCTGTAGTCGTGACAATCTCTAGACTAGAGACAAAAAGACCCTGCAGATGCTGGAATCTAAGGTAGATAAACAGGAAGCTGGAAGAACACAGAGAGCTAAACTGTTTGATGGACTAACTGATTAAACTAGACAAATGTCCAGCGCTGACTTACCGAACTAAAGATATGGACAGACATGAGGTACATAACCAGAGTTTGCCCTTCCACTCTGATGCCTCAATAAACACTTCACCTCCTCTCTATAAAGAGTGAGGTGACTGAATCTCAATATATTTGCTCAGTATCGGGTACAAATGCTGTAGATTAAAAAAAAAAGGCAGTCATGTCAGGTCAAAATTGTAATCGAAGTGTGCAAGTTCATTTTGAACGGAAATAGAAAGGTGGATGGGGTGATGGGAGACTGTACAATTGGACAGCAGCAACATTAAAGGGGCAGTCTCTACAAAGAGGTCAGATTGCATTCCACAGAGGGAGAGAAACAAACAGTCCTCAACTGAATCCTGGAATATAATTGATGGTACAATGACACACACACACACACACACACACAGTTTCTCTGTCGCAGTTGGATTACCAGGTCCCTGTGATCTCCCTCTGTCGTTGTCTCTAAACTTTAGTTCCAGCTCTTATGTACTCCATGTCTGACTTGTGTTTTCAGAGCCTGTGCCTTCTCCTTCTCCTTCTCCTTCTCCTTCTCCTTCTCCTTCTCCTTCAGCACAAGTTAAAACGCATTCATCGTCAGAAAGTTAGCACACAGTTCAAACCCTTTCTCTTAAATACTTCACAGTGTGTCACAAGGCAGGGGGTTACATTCACATCTGTTTGGAAGAGTCCATTTTAAACTCTAGTAGGGTAGTTGGAATTGAACCAAATAGCAGCATAAATTAAATCAACAAGACAAGTTAGATCCCTGTTTGAGGGATTTCTCTAGCTTTCTCCATGCATGAAACAATGTTTTGTACTCACTTCTCTGCTCGGAATGGACGAATCTCTGCAGAGCACCGAGTGTTACTGAGATAGAATTGGGAGCAATTTAAAGAAGTTGAAATACCAGAAGCCTATTTCACTCTCAGTCTCGAGAGGTGTGTCTTCACAAAGTGTCAGACATTCACACAACGAGAAAACAAAACTAAAAAAAACCGAAAGAACTGCAGATGCTGTAAATCAGGAACAAAAACAGAAGTTGCTGGAAAACCTCAGCAGGTTATGCAGCATCTGTGAAGAAAAAAAAATCACAGCTAACGTTTCGGGTCCGGTTCTGAGGAAGGGTCACCGGACCCGAAAGGTTAACTCTGAGAAAATAAAACTGCTTCGCTGATCACAGAACTCCTGGTTGGCCCAGCTTCTGAACTGAAAGGGCTGACAGAAAGGATATGTCAGTACAAGGCTGAACAAAGTTTCACTTCCAGTAATTAAAAACTTATCCTCTGTTAATTATGATGATGTGCAAGTTGCTGATTACAGCAGAAAGATTTGGACTCTTCCAAACAGAGGTGAATAGGGTCCAGACCCGAAACGTCAGCTTTCCTGCTCCTCTGATGCTACCTGGCCTGCTGTGTTCCTCCAGCCCCACACTGTGTTGTCTCAGTTCTCAATCATAACTCTCCAGTACAGTGTCTAAGACCTCCCTCTCAATCTGGACCAGTTCTCTCTTCCTGATATCAGAGTCATGTGATTAGTTACATCATCACAAGTTGCATGAATTTTATTATTTCACAAATACCGCAGCCAATTTGTGAAGAGCAAGCTCCCCCAGACACCAATGTACAGCTAAGTGGTTGTTGTGATGTTGTTCAAGGGATAATTGTTGGCTGTGACAGCGGCGGGGAACTTTCCTGTCCCAGTTCTTCTTTGAAATAGTGTCTTTAACATTGAGGCAAGAGGACAGGAAGCTGCCTTGGTGTACCATTTCATCTGAGAGACAGCGCCTCTGACAAAGCAACACTGCCTCAGCACTGCACTACAGTGTCAGCTTTGTCCCTGGATAAGGCTCAAACCCATAACCATCTGACTTAGGCGACACCTACTGGACAGGTACAGGACAGATACTGGAGGGGAACTCACACTATTCAAGCATCTAGACTCGCTCTGAAATCACAAACTGTCGCTCAGTCTGAGGGACAAGCTCTGCAAAGGTTAGAAACATGGCGCATTTAACCAGCAGATGTTTAGGAGACAGCTCAGACTGCAAGGAACCTGCAAAGCCAACTGAAAACTCTCCGATTCCACAATAGCTCATTGCCAACAGTAGAATATTCCATTCAACATGTCCAGGGGGAAGTGTGTTTTGCAATGACAAGTATTGTGTACAGTTTTGTCATAGCACTATCAGAAGGAGGCTTTGGAGAGGGTGCAAAAGAGGTTTATCAGGATGTTGCCTGGATCGGAGTGTATTCGCTATAAGGAGAGGTTGGACAGACTTGGATAACACAGTGCGGAGCTGGAGGAACACAGCAGGCCAGGCAGCATCAGAGGAGCAGGAAAGTTGACGTTTCGGGTCGGGACCCTTCTCAGCATCAGAGGAGCAGGAAAGTTGACGTTTCGGGTCGGGACCCTTCTTCAGAAATGGCCTGCTGTGTTCCTCCAGCTCCACACTGTGTTATCTCTGACTCCAGCATCTGCAGTTCTTGCTATCTCTTGGATATACTTAGATTATTTTCACTAGAGTGACGGAGGCTGAGGGGAGACCTGATAGAAGTATGTAAAATTACGAGAGACATGGATAGGATGAATAGTCAGGGTCTTTCCTCCAGGGTGGAAATGTTAAATATTAGGTGGTATAGTTTAAACTTTAAAGGAGATATGTGACACAGGTTTTTTTTAAAACAGAGGGTGATAGGTGCCTGGAACATTTAATTAACTCTCCAACTGTGCCATCTTATTTTTGATATTTTGTAATTATCTCTCTGTCTTAAATAGTTAGACCATAGGTCATCCCTTCATTTGCTATTCAGCTGTTGATACTTTACTCACACTGTCTGACACTTCTGATTACCTGCAGAGATTTATTATTCAATCTCGGTACTTCACTCACACCATTTTTACTACCTTTTGACACTCTTAATTTACCTGGAATTATCATGCAATTTTCTCTCTGCTTACAAATTCTGTGCCTGTGTGCTTCCCTCCACTTCACCTGATGAAGGAGCAGGGCTTTGAAAGCCTGTGATTTCAAATAAACCTGTTGGATTGTAACCTGGGGTGTGGTGTGACTTCTGACTTTGTGCACCCCAGTCCAACATCGGCATCTCCACGCCACAGCCACAAGTGGCAGTAAGGACACAATGGCTGGTGTCCAATCACCTCACTCACGTTTTCAATGGGGATACCGCGCTAACAATAACTCTGTAATGTCAGGGTTGCTGCCTCAGTCTAACTTCCGCTAGTGTATCAGCTGTATTAACCTGGGAAAGTTGCAGTTCCTGGGCCTGAGTGCTGATGGAACACTAATTATTTTGGTGTCAAAGTGTAGAATGGTCACAGGAAGGAAGCTTGGAGTGAATTGAATCATAGAAACTTTGAAGATAGGAGCAGGAGTAGGCCATTCAACCCCTCAAGACTGTTCTAACATTTAAGCTGATCATGGTCAATCATCGAGCTCAATATCCGAATCCCATGCTCCCTCCGTATTTGATTTGATTTGATTTATTGTTGTTACATGTACCAAGATACAGTGAAAAGTATTGTTTTGCATGCTATCCAGAAATATCATACCTTAAGTAAGTACATCAGGGTAATAGAGTATGCCTTGATCTCTTCAGCCACAAGATTTATATTTCCTTCCTGCTTGAAAACACAATGTTTTGGTCTCAACCACTTTCTGTGGGAGTGAATTCCACAGGCTCTCCACTCTGTGGGTGTAAACATTTCTCCTTATCTCAGTCCTAAAAGGTTTACCCCATATCATAGAATCCCTACTGTGTTAAAGCAGGCCATTTGGCCCATCAAGACACTCCAGAGCATCCCATCCCGACCCAAACCCCCAAAGCACCTAGTCTGCACATGCTTGAAACTATGGGCAATTTAGCACAGCCAGTCCACCTAACCTGCACATCTTTGGACTGTGGGAGGAAACCAGAGCATCTGGAGGAAACCCACACAGACACAGGGAGAATGTGCAAACTCAACACAGACAGTCACCCAAGGGTAGAATTGAACCCAGGTTCTTGGTGCTATGAGGCAGCAGTGCTAACCACTGAGCCACCATGCCCTTTAACTATGCCCCTTAGTCCTGGACTCCCCCACTATCAGGAACATTATTCCTGCATTTACACAGCATAGAATCATTTTAGTGATTCATGGGATGAGGATAGGAATGGACCTTGTCCCAATTCCCAAACTGAAAGAAATTCCTCTTCCCAGTTCATCAGGAGTGAGCCAGTGCAGATGTGATACAATAGCTTTCGTCAGGTACAGCAGCACAGTTAATGATTTGTTCGAACATTCTAACTCTATGACAGAGGCAATGGCCTAGTGGTATTATTGCTGGACTGTTAATCCAGAGACCCAGATCACATTTTGGGAACTGAGGTTCAAACCCCACCATGGCAGATGGTGGAATTTGAATTCAATGAAAATGTCTGGAATTAAGAATCTAATGATGACTGTGAATCCATTGTTGATTGTCAGGGAAAAAAAAACATCTGGTTCACTAATGTCCTTTAGGGAAGGAAACTCCCATCCTTACCTGGTCTGACCTACATGTGACTCCAGACCTGCAGCAATAAAGGTGACTCTGAACTGCCCTCTGGGCAATTAGGAATGGACAATAAATGCTGCCTGGCCAGCAATGTCCTCATCCCATTAATGAATAAAGGGAAAAAAAAGATATACAAAGGTGTTCCAAGCTTTATTTCATTCAAACATTTTACATTACAGGTGTTAGGAGTGAAGCTTTACAAAACTCTTATGAACACAGAATGACAAAAATGTACATTATGTTATTATCATTTGGGAATTTGGATTTTTAAGAGCAAGGCAAAACGATCTTGGTTTCCACTGTGTTAAAAAAAATCGGAAAGTTATTTGGAAACAGTAAGCTAAACACATCATTTTCAAGAAAATTTTGCATTTAAGTGACAAACATAATACTATTTAGGTGAATTGATTAAAAACTTACACTGTCGACTTTTATAAGATACAGATAAAGCAGACCAGGGTCACTACCTTAATTTAGTCAGAAATACAGTTCAGAATAATGAAGTCTTTAGGAGAATAGTTTTCACTCTAGCACATGTGTTGTAGTTTGTGAAGTCTCCAAGTTTGAGAGTCAGGATGGACGATTTCATGTTGTCTGAACTGAAAACTGTCCAAACTGTCTGAGGAAGAGAACTGGAAGGAGTCAGCTAAGTAAGAAATTAAAGAGTAGAGATGGGGGTGATATTTCTCTGGGATTGAGTATCTGTAAGGTACATAGGTAAGCCACCATAGATTGTCTTTTTTTGAAACTATAAATCACAATGGAAAGTTAGATTGCTAAATTGCAACTTGAAAAAAAACAATTGCTACATATTTTTTAGCTGTATCAGACAATATAACTTTTTAAAGTAGTGAGGGAGAGAATTTGACACTGAGTGGCATTGTGCGTCTGATTGGAGGGAATTCTGCTAGACAACAGCCCTCTGATTGTTTGAGTTGCAGTTTGTTACAAAGCTGTAAGAGTAAAGACAGCAGAAACATTCAGAGCCTGAGCACTGAAAGCATCCATCTCTCTCACGTTCTCCCTCCATGTGGCATAAGGGACAGAAAATCAGGAACGCTTAAAAGAAAGAATTCAAACAAGAAAAGACCTCAGTTCGAGGGATTAATATCGAGAGGAAAAACGACCATCGCCATACAAACAGCAGCGTGTCATCAGTGCTGACATCCAAGAGAAACAGTGTGCAACAATTTAGCCCACTCTTAATCTCTGGAATTTTATTCTCCCTGTCCATGTCATTTCCTGACCCATAATAATTGTGGCAAACTGTCTTTTTTGTCTTAATTGTAAGCCATGATGTGGAGGTGCCGGTGTTGGACTGGGGTGGACATACGACACCAGGTTATAGTCCAACAGGTTTATTTGAAATCACAAGCTTTTGGAGCGCTGCTCCTTCAGCAGGTGACTTTGGACAAAATGTTGGACTA